CATTTAATAGTTGCCGGTATATAGCCGGGTATCAAGAGACTATGTCGTATTCGAAAACGCTTTATTATAACTTTGCACCATGAACGAAGCTTAACGAGAGATAAATAGAATAAAAGGAATATTGTTTGTGTATATATATATATATATATATTTAACATAGTATTATTGAACGCATTGCGCTGGCAATAGTTTGAGAAAATTATTAATTGGCCAGCGGCAGGTGTAATAATGAAGATTGATGTGGAAGTGACGTTGCACGGATGAAACAATAACGACCATACCCCTGCGTCAACTAGATATTTTTAAGGTAGCAACTGGTCGGCGAATAGGGAGTTCTCAAAGGGGAAAGGGACACGTTAATGCACGAGAAATAGGTTTAATGAATTACGACTTTAATTATCAACACAAATAATAATGCTTTGCTGATACCGCTACCCCGCCCAATCTCGCATAGCACGGATTCATACCCTAGTGGAGCTCTTGAAATAATGTTTTGAAATAACTCAATTCTATAATATGATATAGAACGTACACACCAGTATAATAAATAACCTATATAACAGATTTTCTTAATAAATGCCTTCGCATATAGGCGTGCGCAGACTTTATTCGCAGGTTATGCAATAAGAAATATAGGGCCCCTCACAAATAAATTTTCTAATCTTCTCTTAATTTATTTGCATTTTTTTTAACGCATATAAGATTCAAGTCACAATCTAAGTTTTTGCATATATACTACGTAGCTTCTTTACTTCCCTTAGAATCTAAAATCACACATAATTTTACAGTAGAATATTAAACAATGCACTGTAGAAATAAGTAGTTTGAAATTTGATTTATATTTATTAAAAAAAAATTTATTATTTATTTAAGATCAAGTATGTACGATATTGAATGCTTTTGAATAATTTTAACATGTTTATAATGTTGTTATTTTATGGAGAGTACTTAAAATCTAAAGTTCAAGTCTTCTTTTTATCGGCACACATGCTTTGAATTCATCTATTACATCTTCAATATTGATTTCTGATGCCATCTTTTGCTCGATAAATATTAACATCAGTGAATCAAGACGTTCTTGTAACATAGTGTTTTTAAGTTTAGACTTTACAATAGATAATTTAGAAAAATCCCTCTCACACGAGCAGCTTGTCACAGGTATTGTTGCAAATTGTGTTAAAGCTTTATTGAAGTTTGAAAATATTGTTTTCCGGTCATTTTCTGATAACCAATTCAGCCATACTACAATTGTTTTAGTTGATAACCCTCTAATAGAAGTTCTATCAGACATATTTGTAATGAGCTTAATTTCAGACTCAAATGTAGTATTCAAATTAAATTTTTCCTTCAACATTGAAATATCATTACTATCAAGCTTTAATTGATTTAAATTTCCTGTGGCGGTAATTAAATTTAAAGTTTCTTAACTTAATAATAAATATGGGCCCCTCACATGAAGCCGCAGACTATGCAGCGGCATACCTTGCATACCCCGTGCGCACGCCTATGCCTTCGCATGTACACATATAGTCCTCGGCAGTGTTGGGACTTATCTAGATAAATTAACTAGATAGATTATTTGTCATCTTTTATCTTATCTAGATAAATAACACTAAGTTATCTAATTACTTATCTAAGATAAAATTTTTACTTATCTAGATAATTGTCTGTATTCTTGCCAAGATTAGAGTTATTTTTATTCTTGTACGAAGACGAATCCATCAAATCAGAGATCGTCAAAATCGGTTTAGCCGTTCTTGAATTATAAACTCTGTAACTAACCCGACTTTCTTTTATAAATATAGATTTTGTATTCATAATTATAATTCGTGAATTATTAAGAAGTAATTATTATTTCTTGGTATGAAATTTTGTTTGTATTTTCATGTCGGAAAAATATTTTTGGTATTTTTAAACTTAATTTCATATTTTTCCATGGAAGTTCCAAATATAGTTATTATTATTATATATATTTGATTTTAGTATACACATGTAACTCATACGCTGGATAGTCAATACTTCACTCTTGGAACCCGTTAAGTCGTAACTACATATAGAATAATGAAAACCATCAAAGTAAAATTATATGGAAAACAATATTGTTAACTTAAAATAATCTCTTATGTATTCTGTAATCATCCTGATACTAAGCAATTTCCATTGTTTTTTGTTTTTTGTGTCACATTTTAGTGATTAACTATCATTAAATATTGTACATTATATACAAACACTGCTTAATGGTACACAATATTACTAAAATAAACATTAAAAACCTAGGTTCTTATTGATAATAATGATTATAATTGATACTTCATAGATACAAATATGAAATATTGACCAAAAAATAAAATTTTTTAAAAATATCTTTTTTTTATCTAGATAAATATGAAACTATCTTTTATCTTTATCTAGATGAATTTTGCATTATTTATTCCCAACACTGGTCCTCGGCTATGTTTGCGTGCAATATTTGTACTATACGTATGTGTGTGTGTGTGTGTGTGTGTGTATATATATATATATGTAAGCCAATGCAAATTCGTTTGTTTTATCCGCATAAATATTATACTAATAATTATATAACAATCACGGTTTCTATTATGGTAATAATAACGATAAAAATATTTTCGCCCGTAATTATGATGTACCAGCCGTATATGCAATTGAAATAGTTTTATCTGATCCTTTTCAGCAGTATACACGCCGATTAATCCAGAGAAAAAAATTACACCCCAAAGTCATTTTGTAATTGATTCGATAATAATGTGTTTATTAGCGTTTTGAACGAATCTCTAGTAAAACGTCCAAAATAACTTTTTTCAACCAAATAAACCAGAAAATCATATTTAATACGGTTCTTGTTATATTTCATATAATCGGGCAATAGTTTTAACATTAAATTAAGATCGCGCCCACGTGAACGGCAACAAACATTGAAATAATACAAAATTTAACTGTTGAAGTTAGACGAGAACAAAAACACAATAATACTCAGATTTTAAACAACATAATACTCGCATAATACCTCTCCAATATTTTTATATGGTTCCAAATGTTTTTCAATCCGTATTATATTCCATAGATCGATTACCAATATTTTTGTACAATGATCAAATACTCGTAGCTTTGTGAACAGCATTGAATCGCACAGGTCGTGTGTTTATTATGTACTCAAAATTTATTTATTCCATATAATAAAACCCCTTAAGTCCCTGAATTACTGTCATATTATATGTTGTGTGTAATATAAACTATCTAGTGCGTCACTAGGGAATGAAAATGATGTATTTACTTTTACGATCAAGCTGTACAAAGGAAAAAACCGTAAACAATTTTATGATCCAATAGTGAAATTGTATAAAAACCAATTTTTTTTTTTTAAAAAAAAAAAAACCCTTTTATTCAGAAAATAACTGTTATGATGTGTATTTTCGTAACCTTGGTTGTTTCTTTTTTCAATGCTAACCGCCAGGCTCGTAAAATAATTCTAAATGACACGAGCATCAAAAAATTTAAGCTAATGCGCAAGACCAAAATTGTAATCGGTAAACAATATTTTTGTCATCGGTGGAGCCGAATTTCTAAAATTTTACTTAGGCCAAATAAAAATAAAACGGCCTTTAGCACCCCAGCGGCTGCAAGCCTATATTTTTACTTTGTATAGAAAAATAATTTGCACTCTCAAATGACAAGTATCAACCATGATTCATACTAGTCAGACATAACATATACCGACAGACACCGTATCCTAAAATTCCGCAAAATATTTTATTATTTGTTATAATTTAGGTAATTCACATATGAACATTTCAATTCCGTTTATACACATACTGATCCGACAGAATCTGTCCGATATTTCTCACGGGAATAATCACGATATCAAAATATTGCAAACTGCAAACCATAGATCAGTCCCTCTGATCCCCTGCTTCATTTTAAAAATGTTTAACCTAAGCATAGGGTTCAACGTCATTGATCGTAATTAAAATATGTCTATTATGCTTTAATTATATGTTTAGTATTATTGTTTGTTAGTTTTCGACTTTCCATGATTTTAACCGAAGTGTTACCCTTACAAAGCACGATTCTAAGATTTATTGTAACAATGTCAAATTTAATATATAAGGCTAAAAGTTGAAAACGGACTGATTAAAAAAAATTTAAATCAAACTGAGCTTATTTTAAATAGTTTTAATCGTATTCAGATATTCTTTAATGTATACGTACATAATAAAACAGCAATTTTGCAATAGAAAAATTATTTCATGGTATTTATATGATACAGGTAATTCTTTGCGATATACGTTACATGAATGGAAGATCTAAGATTTATTTTTAGGTGATATTTCTAACTTATGCTATTTTATTATATTATTATATGCAATTCTTGAATATTCGTTGCAACGTGCTAATTACGGCAGTTCTCTATACATAAATTCAAGTCCGTATAAGGCATAAATCTAAAGTAACATATATGTCATTAAGATAAACCGACAACGTTACGCGCGTATAAGAACACGGTAAACTTCATTATTCAGGATATACGCAGACAAAGTTTGAGCTTATATTTTAAAACATACCATTTGCAAGTCAGATGAAATGTTCAAGACACATAAGCCCAAACTCTGCAATTTTGCGCTGTGAATTGTATCAGTAACTGAAGAAACGCACTAATGGAGACATAAGTGTTGTACTGTAATTCAATGTTAACGCATTGTACAAAGTCTCTCGGTTGGCTTATGTATTCCGCTGATGTATATATCAAAAGTATTTCTCAACTATTATTTTTATTATTTATGATTATTTATAGCGAGTGATAGTAATGGACTGTAGTAATGGAACTGGATATCCAGCAGTGATCGAGGCGCCATAATAAATAAAAATTTACGTAACATCAACAAGATTTTGCTAAGCAGCTATTTAACTAAATTTATACTTTAATAATAATATTTCGGCATTATTGTAAATGCGTATTAAGTATGTATACTAATATTACTTACACTTCGATGGCTTTATTCCAATTTATTATGTAACCGGACAGGGTAAACAGCTCGACGTTGACGAAATGTACATTGCCCCTTTCCGATCCTACGTACAGCCACTTGCTACGGAGTGGAAGATGTATGACTGTAATTCTACACATAAAAAAAAAAAAAAAAGTCATTAAAATCATATTTACTTTGAATCGTAGGAATGCATAATTAATTTTCAGTGAACCAACAAAATCACATTATTGATAATGGTTTCAATATGCAAATGTTCCTATAATTTTTCAACCGTATGTTACGTGAAAATTGAAGTACCGTTCAGGAGTATATTAAGTACGTGAATATTTATATTTATTTTTTTCTAAAGATATATTATATTTATTACTTATACAACTCGACGATTATGTTAAGATATCTCAATCATGTTGTCAGCAGGGAGACATAGGTAAATTCTCGGACGTTGTTCTTCTGAGAACTATTGATCGGAGAGATAGAATGACTTAATCGGAACTGGGTGGCGGCGTACAATCAAACATTTCACTACGTCATACTGATTTAATATATAAAATAATTGTAATTTTTAAATATAAATATTTATTATTGAAACCCATTTGTGAGTGGAATTGTTACTTGATATTTTTTATGAAAACGTTAAAAGTTTTATTAAAATGTAAAACGTGCTGGAAATGATGCACACCATATGATGATAACGACGTTGTCGATCATATAGGTCTTTTTAGTTTTTGTTATAGCCATATCATATACAAATCTAACTGATGTGTATAATTGGTTTTCGTTGAGCTAAAGTATTTTGAAAAAATAATTATAAGGTGAGAACGAAATCGAATCATTAGACAATTAAACGTTATGAATTTAGCATTAGATAAATAATAAACGTATTTCAACGCTCAATAATAAATAATAAAATGATAAAAATAAAATGAAAATAAAAAATTATTAAATGTTTTATACTCGTAAATTAATGTATAACTAATAAACAAATAGTTTATATATAAAAATAAATAAATAAAAACCTAGCCTGAAGTATTAAAATATTTTTTAAGTATGACCGATTTTGAATTAAAAATTCGTCATCAGGTAAAACATTGTATAAAACTTATGCAAAGTTAATAAAATAAAAGGTTTTATTAAAAGCTATTAAAATAAATCATCTAAATGTAAAAGAACTCATTCTCAATGAATCTTCTTCCTTTAATTTTTCATAATAAGTTGCAATTTTATTTTTTTATATTCAGTCACAAATTTATTATCTTTGTTTATACCTGATGATTGTAATGATACGCGGATTTTTATTCGAAACCCGTCGTAATTTACAAATATAATATTTCAGGCTAAGCTTTTATTTATTTATTTATTTATATATTAGCTTAATAATAGTTTCAACTTAACAGTAAGGTTAGGTTAGGTTACTGTTTGCGCTGCAAACAGCATTTGTGTAATTCATGTTATCATTTTCGTGTGATGCGTAGCGGTGCGTTGCGTATCCGCAGCCATCGTTGGCGGCGGTGATAAGCCTCCGTGTGTGACCGGCCGGTACGTAATCGCATTGTTATTATCGCGCGTAAATGTTCGTTAGTTATTCCACGTTTTCAGAGTTTTTCGGTTATATTTTTGTAAAAGTTAAAGTCATGCTCTCAGTGCCACAAAGCTTATTAATTTCGCGTGTTTTTCAATTTTGTGTGGTGGCACAGAGGCATTTTATCTTCTTTGTGGTGTCCGGCGGCCAAAGCCTTCGTGGTGAATATAGTCGGCACCGTTTCACTCTTGTCTTCGTGTCTTCACGGTGTGCACATCAAATTTCATTTTGACAAGCTTTCGTACGTCCGCAGCCATTTTATTTAAACCACGTTGTTGAGTAGTGTCATTTTCGTTTGTGAATCTACCGTTTGGTAAAGTATCGTTCGAGACAATCTGATATTGTCCAGCGATTAATTACATTGTTTTTCAGTTTTACCAGCGGTTGCTTTGTGATTAATGTGGTTTTCATTCGTTGTGTCATCGTCCAGGGCTGTGGACCATTGAAGTTTCTTCGTTGGTGACTGTGTTTTGCTGGTCGCACGTGCCAGTCGCTGTGACTTATTATTTCATTCATACACTGCGGTGTGCCGTCGTAGGCATTTTTTAAAGTCACAGTGTTGGTGCGGTCGCGTTGGAATAAAATCCGCCATCAATCACAGTCACATGTGAATATTGGTCGACCATATTTGTATTCATCATTGTGTAAAGGCCGACAGACCTAGCAACAGACCTAGTAACCCACCAACGGCTATTATTTTTTATTACATATTTACTCATATTGCCATGGCAATTCATATATTATTATTATTATTATTATTATTATTATACGTATTAAATTATTTATTTATTATTATGTGCCGTATGGGCCGCATATTATTTAATTAGTATATATTTTGATTGTGCCGCTGAATTTCAATCTGAAATTATATCATATCTATATTATTATTCATTCATTGTATTTATTTATTTATTTATATTAATTTAATTATTCTTGTGCCAATCGGGCAGCATAATATTTTTTTATACGCATTCTCTTTTTTTTCATTATATCATTATTGTAATTATTATTAATAAACTCAAAACCTCAAATTTATAATATTTAAACATTTTTTAATCATTGGTATTGTGTTGTGAATTATATATTTAGATACTCAAATGTTATCATTTTAGGCGAAAGAGATAGCCCATTATTACTGTGGGCTCTTGATTAACCGCACAGTTACAGAAATATAACATTTTGAATTGTAAAAACTTATGAAATAAAATATTTAAGTATTATTTTAATAAACTATTACAAAAGTATTTCTTACCTCTCTCGTTGAAATTTTAAACTGTGAACTACATCGGCTCTTTTTTGTCTGAAATTCCATAAGTGTAAACTATCGTCTGCAGTCACTGTGATTAAGGCTCCTTCGTTCATCAGAAATTCTACTTGAACCACGGCTGCCTCTAATTCGTGTCTAACCTGCGCGTCTACTCCAGGCCTTCCGATTCTGTACACACACTCGTTAAGGAAAATATTGTACAAGTTTGAATACAATAACAAAAAATATAAGTGAAACTGATATAATTTTTAAACATAATTTAAATCAACAAGTACAATAATTTTTTAAAAATAATATACATGACAACTGTTATTTAGCTATTAAAGACACAATAACGTCAGCTTTATATCTAAAAACGAATTGGTTCGCTAACATAATTGATGTATTATAATTTATTTATTTTTTCTGCCAAAGTATAAGTATAATATTTATATTTATATTATAAATATATTAATAAGTTGTAAATTTCAAATTATGTAATAACTAATTTATGTTTTTTTTTTTTTTTTTTTTGATTATAATATTCATATCTTCCTTTTTTAATTTTGCTCTTTGTACGAATGATTTTTCTCAATTTGTTCTCAATTATCACTGAACAACAAATATATACGAATCCAAAATGTAATTAAATAGTTAGTAGTTCACCTTAATGAATGATTTACTTAGACACAATATACAAAAATTAATGAAAACGATCTAACACTCACCTACACTTTTACCACTTATTACTTTCCCATCCATTGAGTCTAAAAAACAAATTTTTAATATACAAATTAATTATAACTTCACTTTGGTCATACTGTATACAAATTTGGAGCCAAACTAAACCCTCTAACATAAGACCTATGAAAAACTTTCCAATTTATAAGCCTTCGTCAAATAATTGAAGCCCCATGGAATAACTATATAAAGACCTAAGAGTTCCAACAGTAAACGAAATAGTAACCCCACATTACAAAAAAACTTCACTTTAAACTCCATTCAAATCAAAATCCCTTAAACTTCCGTATTTCCTCGATCACCATTTCCAATAATTCACTAAAAAGACTTAAAAGAAAATGGTCAAGAGGCCCTCTTACCTAGAAAAAAAAAAGGTTCTCCCCACCATGAAATTATTAAATTAAATAGGAGATTTTGTTGCTGAAAAAGTTCCCTCCCTCAAGTTAATCAAGCCTTTTATTAAATTATATTGTCATCTCATTTACATATTATACTTATTTTTATACAAGCAGTTTTTTTTTTTTTTTTTTTTTAATATAAAAAAGTCTCCAGGCTAGGCAAATGATAAAGTATAAAATATATCTTGTCAAATGTTTTAAAATTACTCTTTTTTACTCTAATCTAAAATTGTACCATATGAATTAACAAATTTAAAAAACAACAAAGTTTAATTATATAGTAACCACTGTTTAACAATCAAGATAATGCAATTTTAAATTATATCAGAAATAAAATAGAGGAAATATAAAATAATTATAAAAAAAAAAAAAAATAATTATCATATGGAGATCCGTTATCCATCAAACACATATACATCTACGTCAGAGTGTAGAGAAACATAAGAAAAGCCTATTTAAAGCATACTTGAATAACTTTTTTTTATATAGTTTTGCTCGCTACCTCTAAAAACTATCTACAAACAGTACTTATTAAAATGGATAACATATTTCTAACATTAAAATTAAATATAAATACGGAAAAGACAAAAGTAATTGTACGCAGTAAACAAAATGAACCAAACATTAGAGCAAGTAAATCAATTGAAATATTTGGGCAGCCTAATACGTAATGAAGGAAGATCAAAAAAAAAAAAAAAATGTAGGATAGGGCAAGCAAAAAAAAACATTCCTATTTAAAAGTAAATTAATTACATTAAAAAATGTAGGTCTTAGAACAAGAAAACGTTAGGTTTTTTTAAAACATATGTATGGAGTAAAGCATTAAACGGCAGTGAAACATGGACATTGAACAAAAAAGATGAATCCACTTTAGAAGCTTAAGAAATATGGTGCTGGCGAAAAATGGAGAAAATAAAATGGACAGAAAGGAAGACAAACAAAGAAGTATTAGATTTAGTCAAAGAGAATAAAACATTTCTAAGCAATTTAAGATCAAGGCGATGGCATATGATAGGTTATACTCTAAGACATAACGAAGAACTCCATAGTATTATACTGGAAGGTATAATAGAAGGGAAACGCGGAAGAGGCAAACCAAGAACGTCTTTATAAGTCAAATAATCAAAGATGCACGAGTCAATTCGTACAAACAACTCAAAGATCAGAGAATCATGAAGAAAACATTTATTGTTTACCAATCTACAGATTGAATACTAAAAAAAAAAAAAAGAACACCTCCATGATTTCTTTGATGCTGACAAAGACACTACAAAACAAATTATTTTATACTCACCAAATATACCTATATTATTCTTTATAAATTAGTTGAAGTTTATTTCCATAAGAATAATATAATTTAAAATTAAACATAAGTTAAAAATACAAGCCTGGTCTACTGAAATTTAATAATTAAAAAAAAGTGTGTAGCTAAAGTTTTGTAATGATATCCGCCTAAGCATTCATATATTTTTAAAAAAATTGAATGTACAATTAAATAATTATAATAATCAGTACACATTAAATATAAGAATAAGTCATAAGTACTAAAGATAAAATATGACACACACACACACGTAAACACATACACGCGCACACACACAGGCGACATTAAATATAATATATTATATAATTTTTAGCAAAATTTTCAAACTCAAGGGAGACGCATTCTTGTTGTCCTTTTATATAGACGGTCAAAGGCGAGTATAAAAGACTACACAGATCGTCTATGCAGAAAGATATAATTAATTATAAAACGTTCTGTAAAAGTTAAAAATAAGTATATTAATGTGTGTACAAGTAATTTAAATAAAATTAATATAAGTGAGTTAAAAAAGAAAGTTATTGTCATTTTAAAATATAAACTGGTCACCTTATTCCATACCTGAAGAGTCAACAACGGTTGTCAAGAGGCAGACCGACACAATCATCGGAGAGGTAATATTAAAAATTTATAATATAATAAGTAATGATTTAAAAAGACAAATAAATACTTCACTCATAAATTAACATAAAAATACTTTAATTTTTAAATCATTACAGTTTAAAAATAAATTATAAATAATTGTTACTTGAGTCTTATATTTAAAAAAAGAAGCCATAAATCTGTAGATATATATAATAATTTACACAATATACATACACGCTATATGAATATCATATTATTAAAATTAAATCACTATAAGTACTCAATCAAGGAAGTAATATAGAATCTTATACAATATTAATATTAATATACAATTCGAGACTTCACCTTCTTAGACCATTAATTCACTGTAGGTTCTTCTTGCAAACTAAGTCAACAATCTACATGTCTTACTAAGACCCATGTAAACTTAGTAAAAATGTCCATTACAATTATTAGAGGATTTATTATATAGATGTATTAAAACATATATATATATATATATAGTTCCTTTAGGCTGCAGTTATATTAAATACATGTACTGAAGCGAATGTATACGCATAAAATCTGTAAATTCTTCCGGTATTTTCCATTAAAAGTGAATATCTTGTGACAGAAACATTTAAATTAAAAACACTCGTTTTCCCGCATATACATACATAGACATATATCAATACATGTATATGAAATTATACACTACAAAACACCATTTAATATATAGGTAACATAATATAAATGAGCGGTAGGTAGGTGTGAGTAAAATGATAGAATGATAGACAGAGGAGTGAAGTAGGTAGTGAAGGAGAGAACTTTTCCGCAAGCGTCTCCACTAATGGATTCATGTTGAAACGAGAACGCACCTTCTCCTCCTCTTCATCGTAACGCACAATTCTACGTAATATGGCCTCAAGCTCGTATTTTTTTCGGCTAGGGATCGGTATTGTTGCCGAAGAGTAAATAGAATATTTGGCAGTCATATATTATTATGATCGCGCACCCAAACGCCACCCCCCCCCCCCCCTCACACACATTATATAATCTTAACCCAGACATGTGTGCGATTGTTCGCATTGAATTTCAGACAGGGTGAGAAATGAATATTTTATTAACGTGTGAACCTCCACCGCAACGGCCACGGGTGGAAGCAAATCGCCGTTAGTCAATAGCAGAACGGCGCGCGTCAGGGGCGTCATCGGTGGCAAGGGAAGTAACCACCGAACACGTTTTTTCATAACGCAATCCATTCCTTACAGGTAAATATGTATATATATATATTGAAATCGTAAGGTAAAAATACTTTTATACGATCCGTCATACGCGCGTGGGTTACTATCAAATTTATGACTTATTTCACGTGGTTGTATCCTATGTAAAATGTAATGTTATTTTTGTACAAATACACACACACTTATGGTATACACACGGCGGAGGCACTGAAAAAATATACCGTCTTCTAAAAGAATTGTCCTGAGAACGATTCGAAATTGCGGAGTCGGATGGAAAACGTCAATATTATGGTTCGACAATCATCGATCATCATAGCTTTGTTATATCATCGCTGAATCGTTTTGTTTTGCAACGAATATTATTATTGTTATTGTAGGATAATATATATATATATGTATTTAAAAGATATAAGATATTGTCTTGGTGTAATTAAATATATAAAATTAAAAATTACTCAATAATAATAAATACAAATTTTTAAACTTAATCGTAATCGTAAGAGAAAAATAAACTAAACTGTATTAACTTACTGTCTCATATTATGTAAATAGTACGTAACTAAAACAAAATATATAGATCTGGTAAACTACGTAGCATAATGTGTCAATTGAGGATTCATAAAACTAAAATACACAAGATATATGTACATACAATTTCTACGAATCGAATCTGATATGAGAGTTAAATTGAAATAGTTGGTGTGCATTAGAGGAAAGGAAGGTAACATTTTTAAGTCTTTGAGTTGAAGTGTATAGTAATGTGCTAAACCGTAAGAAAAATAACAACTGTTATTCGAGTCTGAGAAGTTTTCAAGCCATAATGGCTCGAGTTAGAGTCTACTCTACAGAGTATTCTTTGAACTGTCTTCAAAGAAAACGGTTCATGTATTTTTAAAAATTAAATTCCGTTAAAGTAGCAAC